GCCTAAAGTTCAGTTTTGATTTTGCCGAAAATCCAGCGAAAACACAACTTTTGGCAATTGCCAAAAGTCACTTGCGAAAGTCTGTACTGCAAAATTCGCGCTGTCCCACGATAGATTGAAAGAGTTTTGAGAATATATTTTAGAAAGATAACGAATGGTCAATAAGTATTTATTGGTAAAAACTAAAGTGACTTAGTCCTGGTGATATTTCCATTTGAATTAGTTAAATCTAAAATTATTTTTGTTCCAACAGGCTATATTTGCATTTGAGTTATTATTACAAATCATTTTATTTGATTCGATGATAACACTGAAATCAAAATGAAACTATTTACCCCTTTTCTTTTGTCTATATTCATCTTTTTAATTAATTCAGGCAACTGGCTCATTGTCAAATGGAGTGGATTCTCAGGATATCCATCACCAAGCGTCGAACAGAAATAAAAAGAAACGGTAAATAATTGTTTTGCATTTTTTTTATTAAGTTAAGCAAATGTTTCACGCACATATTTTTATTACATTTTTGTGCAGATGGTCACCTGTCTGTTTAATTCTGTTTCTACTTGCTCTTCTTCTTCTTGGTGCAGGCATTGCTGCAATGCTTGTCGCCTTGATTGGTATCCCCAAAACGACAACAGCAACGACAACGGCAACAGCAACGACAACGACAACAACAACGACAACAACAACGACAACGACAACAACAACGACAACAACAACGACAACGACAACGACAACGACAACGACAGCGAGTATGCTTTTTTCAGCATCCGTTTATTAAAATAATGTTTTCTTCACATCGCATTATTTTATACATAGCCCCACTGCTCAACATAACATCTGACGCTGATCCTATCTTCGGTCTCTGTAACACTACAGCTGGTAGCGCCAGTCAGTTCTCATCCATAGGTGTATCAAGCTGCCAGTATACTTCGGGCGAAGAACCAATCAATGCTCTTGATTACGATACTTCCACAAAGTACGTTAGTTACGGCAATGGAGGTACTTCATCAACAGCTGGCGTTAACACCGGCTTCTACATTCGACCTCGTCAATATCCATCACTAGTGACTAGTTTTCAATTTGCAACAGGGAGTGATCACAACACTCGTGATCCGTTGACAATGACATTGGAAGGAACAAATGCGACGGGAGGTAATTTATGGACATTGATATATAATGGAGTAACAGGATGTGCAACAGATCCAGGACGATCTGCTTATTGTCCAATTCAGAGCGTTACGAATACTGTGTATTATTTGAATTATCGAGTCCTGATTCTAGCGCAACGTGGCACTGATAATAGTGTACAGTACAGTGAAATGCATTTGTTTGGATATCTGTAAACTCGAGGAGTTCTTTTTGCGTGTGTTTTGATGTTCAAACTAACTTCTAATAAAATTTATGAGGACTCTTTTTGATTCAAACGTTGACGCTTCGGTTTTTATTTTATCATATATGGAAAATCAGGAAAATGCTTAATTATTGGTTTTTGAGGGGTGAGTATAGCTACCACAATACCAGGTATTTCGGGGTGTGGGTAAGTGTGAGTTTAGAAGAAAAAATTCAACAAGAATCAAATTTTGAAGAATTTGAGGAGCTACCATGACGTGTTTCCACCTTGCTTAAGGGTCTCATCAGGTGGCTATCTTGAGGGTGAGGGTGAGTTTTAAATAATAGATCTACCACGACTGGTTTCGTCTTATTTCAAAGACTCATCAGGTGGTTTTAGTACACTGCATTAAACTGTTCAAATACTAAGATTGAAAGACAATTTTCATTATCCCGTAGTTTTCTATGTCAAGAATATTCAAAGGTAGCAGTGATTTCTAATCTAGAACACAGTGAGTATCTCAAAAAAGAAAAGCCATGACTGGTATGTTATACAAAGACCTACACATCTGTTTCGTCCTATTTTTAAGGACTTGTCAAGTGGTTTAGATATCTGGCTAGAGCAAAGCTTGATAAAATTAAGTGAAAAGAAGTTCAGAATAATCTCTTGTAATATTAATTCCGTTGAAATACGTAATCGGTAGATAGTCATTTTGTTCAGAGGCGAAGTTAGTTTGAAATCAACTACTACTATCTGAAACATCAATTCAATAAATTCCAAGCTATTACAGCACGTTTCGACTTGTCTAGCAGTCTCAGTAGATGGTTGTCAAAGTTTTACATAAAGTTATTTGAAGAATGGAGAATTTATAGATGGAAAGAACTGAGTTATTTCTTACGTAGAGTGTCAGTGTCTTGTCGTTGGTATGGCTCACTTAGTGTCAGGGGATGGGAAGCTTAATTGATTACAGTCTTCGGATCCGTTTCAACTTTCTCGTATCATCAAGCCTTGTAATCACGAATGAATATGGTCTGAAATTGTAATGCAAATCAAAATGGTTTATAGTTGAAAATGATTGATGTTTAACAGAATTGCATAGAAATGATGATTAGCTTCACGAGAAAAAGAAACAACATGCATAAAAAGCCGGAAAAAACAATCTTTGTTAAACTTTGTTGATTGTTCAGATGCCAAATACTTGATATGAATTAGGATATGAAACTAAAGCAGAATGGAAGATATCGATAAAATATATTCAAATCAAATTGATTTATTTACCAATCATGTTAGTCGATTTAAGAAAATGTTTTGTTGCTTTAAATGTGAGTTGATTTCATTTCTGGTTGCTGTATCGTTTCAACATTAAAGAAACCTTGAGCCAAATCATCAGTGGTTTGTGTTGATGTGTCCATGTGAACGAGTGTTTATTCTTGAAATATCCTTTCCATACTGCTGGACTCGTTCTGTTCAATTTCAACTTCCTCGTCATCATCCTCAGCTTCCCTCAACATTTCAAGCTGATAATCTATATCCCCACCTTCATCGTCTTCATTTTCATCGTCATCATCGTCTTCTTCTTCTAGTCCTTCACAGATGCCATGCTTCTCGTGTACTTCAATAGAATCAACTGAATCTTTCTTATCAAAGGATTGTAAGTAGGGTGTAATAGCACCTGTGCGTTCGACATCTTCGATTATTTGAACGAGTGGATCCAGTAATCCATGATGATCTAAGAGAGCAAAGTCGCTTTTGTGTAAAGATATGGTATGAAAAGCTAAGAGTCGTAATTGGTAGCGTCTTTTCTCACGTGCAGCGTCCACATCTACGGCTTGTGCTACTATTGCTTTTGTTTTCGTTGTTGTTGATAGAATAGAATCTAATGACGATGGAGAAGATAAAGTCATTATTGAAGAATCGTCCGTTTGAGTTGAAATATCAACAAGAGTTATTCTAATTCTTTTCGTTTTCTTTCTTGGTAACTCTTCACTATCAGATGAATTATTGTCGGTATCGTAGACACCATCAATATCTTCATGGCAACGCTTTTGACCATTAATTTGATTTGACCCATTCAGCTTACAATCTTTAGCTTGAAATACGTTCACTATTTTATTCAACAGACCAGATTGAGCCAAATAAAAGAATACTGCATCGTCCAGAAACATGAAATGCCGGCATAGTAACGCTCTTTGAACGTCCTCGTCTGCACACACAGCTTGAATCGGAAAACAAGATGCTGTTGTTGTTGCCGTAGCTGATAATAGATCAGAAGACGAAGAGGCCATACTTTGAAAGATTGAATGTAAGATGAAGAAATAAAAAATTATTAAGATCTAAAAAAATGAAAAGGAAAAATAAACTAAGAAATTCAGGGCTTAATTCTGAGAATTTCAATATATTGTTTCTCTGGAAGCAAACGTGAAAAACAGTTTTATATTGAAGAAGCCATATTCTTGTTATTTGAAAAAGAAAAGATAAAAATATTGATAATTTGAAAACCAGATGAAAAGACGATCTTCTTAGTTGTCTTGTTCACTTGATATTTATTGATTTGGCGCTGGTTAGCATTGATCTTGGTGGTTTTTTCTTAATTAATAATTGACTTAGAGATTTGTTGGTTTGTGTTGCAATTTTTAAAGTAACACCATTCAGTGGTGAACCAGCATAGATAAAATGTTTCTTCCATAGAGAACGAAATTGGCGTTTGAAATCTAACTTTGGACCACTTTCGAAACTGTAAGAAATATGAATCTCTTTTTTATTCCAATCTTGTCGTTGTTCTCGTTGATCCGATGAAAACTGAAGTAAATCAGAAATTATCTTTTTCTGTTCCCTTTCTCGTCTTGTTGGTTGATGAAGTAATTTTTGATGTAATTCTCTATAGATATCATTATCTAAATGGTCCATCAATGAGATGACATTATTTTGTTCAAAGAATCGTTTGAAATGATATGAAACAAATCTTGGTGGATAAGTATTCAATAATAATTTAATTTCAATGTTAAATCTTTCTTGATCAAAGTCTTCTACATTTGAACAAAGACGTACTGCTTGAAATAGAGCTCCTCTAATAGTATTACGATGAATGTAACGTGGATGATCGGATAAGAATGGTACAAGGGTGAGGGTGAGGGTGAGGGTGAGGGTGTGAGGGTGTGATGGTGAGGGTGAGGGTGTGAGGGTGAGGGTGTGAGGGTGTGATGGTGAGGGTGTGGGTGTGGGTGTGGGTGTGGGTGTGAGGGTTAGGTGGCTATCTTGAGGGTGTGAGTCAAAGCAAACTACGACGCGTTTCGACCTTGCTAAAGGGTCTCCTCAGGTAGTTTTGACTTTATAACTCTCCAAATGATCGAAGAGATCACAGATTGTGCCAACAGGTTATATTCTTCCGTATTCAGGGAATGACGTTTCCACTTTTAGAAAAGACTACACCCTTTCTTATTCACATATTTACGTTTCCTCAATCTCACATTAACTTTGATTCTTATTGTAGACAGAGTAGAATCCTTGAATAGAGACCTTGATTTGAATGCTTGAGTATAGTCATACGTTATCACGAGATGAAAGACTAGACTTTATTTTAGAAGTGCATTCAATATTAAGTTGTCTGTCCATCTGTTCCATATTACTAGACTTTATATTAAGAATCAATCTAATATGAAGTTGTCTGGCCTTCTGTCCTATGTCATCAGACTCTATATTAGAAACATATTCAATATCAAGTAGTCTATCTTTATCCTAAATGTCATGAGACGGCGACCTTCTATATCTTAAATGTCATGAGACGTCCATTTTCTATGTATTAGATATTATGAGACGTCGACCTTGTATCTCATGTGAGATAATGCGAGACAGAGATAGGACAGGGGTATAAAAGGACGATGAAACGAATAGAACGAGAGCATTTTCCGGATAGAGCATTCTCTAGGTATTCGTTTCATGGTAAGTACAATCTAGTAAAGTTACATCGTATTTAGAAACATAAGAACAAAGTTATATCTGTATATCTTGTAATTATTACATTACTATTATCGTGTCCATTTATGTACAACTTTATATATATTGTCATTATGTGTCTCAATTTATAATTACTTGTATTTGTTTATCATTTAATTTAAATAAATATTAATAAACCCGTAACGTTATATTTAATGTTTAATATTCATTAACATTACTTACTTGTATTCTACAAGAAAGACATATTAGAAACAAAACTCGTTACATTTGGCGATCACACCAGGATAGCAGGGAGGATTCATTTGGAATAGTGGTGGAACAATTAGTTGATTGTTACTTATGATTGCAGATTTAGAATGATGAACGGTAAGAATTACTGATTTGAGTGATGAATTTGTGTGGTTGTTTGAGAGACAAGATATGGCATTGTGTATGATTCCAATGTCACAGAACATCCGTGAACGTATTAAAAATTGGTTAGAGATGGGCCGAGTGTAACATCAATACATTTCATATCTCTCACTCTCGAATCTCCTCATACTTTCTTTACTTTGATCATGCTCTTTTGTTTTCATTCTGAATCATCAATAAAATCCTCTTATGCCTGCACGGCCTTCCGTTTCTTCTGATTTAAAGTCAGATCCTGACCATTGGCGACCAAGAAATTACGAATATATGTATCAATACAATCTTATTTCATAACAATACAATTAATTATATTATCTTCGGACAATATATAAAAAAAAAAAAATCAACGAAAACAAAATTAATATTTAACATTTATTAATATTATATCAATTGGAGATTCGGAACAATGTACAATAATGAGTATTGATTGGGTTACTGGATAGATGCTAGATGCTAGGGGAGAGACATGACATTGAGAGGGCACAATGTCACAGAATATCAGTGGACGTACTAAACGGACGGTTCGAGGTAGACCGAAATGTGTAACGGCTTGCGCACATTTTCCATAATAACATCGGTACGTTTCATGTCTTCTTCACTCAGTTCTCTTCATCATCCATAATCTACATCATATTCTATTACGTACATCCCGATGAAATAAAATTAATATATATATTTATATATATACAAGTTATTGTTAGTAATGTCCATTATTACAAGCATCAACATTATTGAAATGTGTAGATGAATTTATTACAAAAATAGGAAACAAATTAACATTATTGTGAATCTATGTTAAAGAACTCTTATGAAGTTTTATGGTTCATTACGAATTATCGTAACGAATGGAAAGTATCAAGTACAAAATTTAAAATTAATACGATGATGAACCTCCTCAACGGTTTGGAAGGCGGCGGCCTCCGGTGGACAAGCGTAGGCAGAAAGTTTAAGATCTATCAATAGCTGCTACAACGATCCAGCGACCGAACAGTCTATTCATCCGTGAGAAGAATGACTTGGAAGGATTCCATTACCACTGCGTGGCGATTCATCATATTAACACAAATTCTATACTTAATGATTTACACAGATAACTTAGCAATGAATCTATCAGTTGACAAAACCATTCGACCAAATTACATATACCAATGCATGCAAGGAGAATTATAAAAATTATGAACATGATGTCTAGTATTACAATTATCCATATTATTCAAATGGAGATATGAACATTATTATGAATCTTTTTGAAGTGTTATGAATTACTATAAAATCTTATGAAGTTTTATGAAGTCTTCCGAATTATTATAAATTATTATGAAGTTTTACGAATTAAGATATGTTAGTATGCATTATTATGATGAATACAAAGTAGCAGAATGTACTACGTGGTGATTTATTATTTTGATACAAGAACGAATTGCATGCAACTGCAAACATCAATTATTTAACAATGAAAGGAAGAAGATGACTATTCTTTCCTCTCTTTTTCTTTTCATCATAGAATTGTCGGTTTCTATGATATATCTATGTGATTTTTTTTTGTAAACTGTTTTTTATTTCTCTGGCTCTACGAGTACAGCTAGCAGTATACTTGTAGACGCTCAGGAGCGCGTCTGAACTGAGTGGGAGGGTGTGCCAATACTGGCTGGACATCCTTTTTTTAATTCACATTACACGTTTCCTCTTCTTATGATTTTCTTTCTTTCCTCTTCTCGTGGAAGGAAATAGTACATCGTCCTTGATGTTATGTAATATGGTAATACTATCACGCATACATTATTAGACTGATGTGACAGCTGTATTAGCGATGTTCCGTCAAGTGTCGTGACGATGCCGACAGACATAATTAAGTCACTCTTACGTAATGAATAGAATGCGTGTTCTATCTCTTTTTCTATTCTATCTTGTGTGCGTATATAAAGCGAGTGTTTTATGTTGTAAAGACAGAATTGGAATAGTGTAGTAGTGTAGTATGAACATCGTGTAATACCGAGGATAGCGGTAACGCTACTCTTCCAATTTCTCTTTGTGATCACAAATAAAATAAAGTCTGCAGCAAGTAACGAATATTCTATCCTTATTTAACAACAATATATTTATTCATTTCAAAATTCGTTACAGTAGGCTTCATGAGTGGCACTCTTTTTTTCACCTTGAAATTCTTGTTTCTTTATAATCCCATACAAATGCATGCAGGACGAACAGTTTTAAGCATTCGTGTATGTTATGATAAGAATAAAATGAAAAAAAGTACCGAACGGAAAATGTGAATGTTTTTTTTGCGACATCAAAAGGTATGATGTGTCTGATTTCACAAATGTTGAATTTTTGTATCGTATTGCATACTTTCTTTTTCAGATTTCTTTGAATATTTCGAATAACTCGACGTATCAAAATAATTGTCGATACTTTATACCCTTCGAATATTGTTAGCTTTCCTCGTCAGAAAATATTCATGGAAGATTTTCGAGCGTCCAATAGTCGTGTATACATCAAATATCTAGTTATTCTATTATTCCTCATAGTCATCGGGTATACTTACAGCAGATCAAACAAAGAAATACTCAAAGATCATAAACGTTTCTTGCAGTGTGAAACTCCAGTGGCAACACCCTTACTGTCAATATGGAATCCATCGCCAACGGCAAGAAAAAATGCAATTGCTATTTTGTTTGAAGGACTTATAATAGATTTAGCGCCTAAGGTAAAAGTGCTTGATGCGTATATTTCTGATAATTTGACGGCAGATATCATTATTTTCCACACTTTATATCCTTCGAAAGCCCATTTACAGTCGTTTGCCAGTACCACTAAACGTCAAGTTATTTTCTATAATATAGACGCCATATTTACATCGTTTCCGAAAGGATTCGATCCCTATCTAAATGAACCAACTTGGTCAAAACGAGGCAAATGGAACTATCATCATATGTGTCGATTTTGGTTCAAACTTATTCTAGATATTCCATTAATTAATAAATATGACTATATTATGAGACTTGACAGTGATTCAAAAGTAACGGGAGTTTGGTTTAATGTTTTTGATCTGATGAAAAATAAAACGGCAGTCAATTTTGCTAACGTAGAACAAGCAGATACCGAAGCTATATTACCTGGTCTAATGAAACTCAAAACATTTACACTAGACTATCAAAAGAAATATGGGATAATTCCTAAAAATCCGATCAGATTGACACGAGCTTTTGACATTCCCGATCATATACGTTTACATAATACAAATTTTGATATCTTCGAAATCGAGCTTTTCAAAAGTCAACCTGTTACTCATTGGATTAATGCAGTGGACAAAAGTTTTGGTATATTTCGATATCGGTGAGGAGATCATGTGCTCAGATATCTAACAACCGCGATGTTTGCCACTCCAAACGAAGTACTTGTAAGAACGGATTTCAATCTGCCTTACTGTCATCCATGCTAACATCGAAAACAGAGTGTGGGTGTGGATGATGTGGGTTTGATTGTGGTATCAGAAGAAGATATAACTCAAACCCACACCCTTTTTCGATATTTTTGGCTGTCGTAAATAAATGCTACTGAACCTCGATTAGTGGTTGTCCATTCAATATCAGATGTTATATTTCCCTTTTCGAAAGAAAGTGTTATACACTGTTTAAATCATCGGCTTCAAATGCATAAAAGTTGTCTACCTGCCTGTCTGTCCAAGCGAATCAGATTTCACCATTATTTTTCCGTTCTAATACTGCGCATGAATACAGCACCTCCTTAGTCAGACCTGTCCTGATGGAAGATAGGTTCCATTATCTGTTAGTAATACTACTTAGTTTTTGATTTTATGAGGGGCAACGCCAAAAAAATAGTATTCGTTTGCGTTAGGGTTTTGTAATTTCACGGTACTGAATACCGATGTCATAGATGCTGATTTCACTGGGATTGAACCAACCAATAACTATTTCCTATCGAAATGCAAATTTTTGGTCGTTCAAAAATTTAATACCATGCTTCGTAAAAATAAGACCAGAAAACATGTGTACTCATGTCTAAAAGAACATCTTTACTAAAGATAACTAAGAAAGACAGAGTAAGTAATAAGTTTTTGCTTATTCTTTGAGTTCATTTTCACTGGAAATGATGCCATTATACCTCGCAAAAGCCTAGTGATACTATCGGTGAACAGAAAACACAATTTGAGCCAATAAAATGTAAGATTATATTATGATTGCGAATAAAAATGTCTAAGATAAGTTAAAGCACTGTGATGAATAAAAAGACTTTGAATGCTTAGCAAAGAAATCCGGCGTCGGGAAAGAAAATGATTTTCTGTCTAGATTATATTAATACGCATAGTGATAATATGGGTGTGGGTGTGCGTGTGCGTGTGAATGAAGTTGATCAAAGAAGTATACATCCACACCCACCCACACCCTCCCTAAAATACGGATATCGTACGGTTTCCTAAGGATATTGCGCAACCTCACAATTTCAACCGTATAGCGGTTTCCCTAAACACAAGAGTGTGAGAAATGATAAACAACTAGCTAAATTTCAAGATGAGATTCAAGCAAATAAATTATATGAAACGATTATGACTTCCTATCTTAATTTAAATCCAGTAAGAATATGTCTTGATTTTAACAAAGAATTAAATTTCTTTCTTAGAACCAATTCATTGATCAGTTAATTAGTATACGACAGAAACAAGCACAAATTTTGGAAGAACTGCTTCAGTTAGAAATGCGAATTCTTGATAAATTTTTACCACCTGAACTTGATCAACAAGAAACGATAGTTGCACTTATTGCTTATATACCCTTAAATAATAAACGTTATAAAATGATACAAGATGCAAAACGTCAATGGTTACATATTTCGTTATCTGTATATGAAACTAAATTACAAGAATACAATCATCAATTAGAATCGATATTATTAGATAATACAAGTCTTCAAGGTACATCTTTATTAAATGATATTAGTCGATATGTAACATATCGAACAAATGAAATGAAACAATCCTTATCAAGCAAAATGTCTATTTTTCGTAATAAATTAATTCAATATCGTAAACCATTATCAGTGAAGAATAATTTTATTGGTGTATCACCTGAACCATATCTTGATTTAAAATCGAATCCATTTAATAAACGTGAATGGCAATATCTTTCACTTGGTAAATGGCAATTTCATTTTTGTAAGAAAAACTTGAAATTTAATTTATTTAGGTCCATCATATATCCGAACAAATCAAAGTGCAATTCGTCGTCGAAAACAACAAGAAATTGAAATTAAAAATGAGCATAAGGACATATTTTCCAAAGTCCAAAATAATCTTACAGAATATCATCATGTACCGAGAAAGCATGTAATTTTTGAAGAATATTCTGATCAACTTCTTAATTATTTGAACAGTTGTTATTTTACTCCCTTACCATACAAAGATCATATTGAAGCTCGAGAACAATCACAAACTATTGCATCGATTCGACATAAAATTAAACAATTCAAACTTATTATTCATGTCACAGACAAAAGTAAGAATTTTTACATTGGTTCAGCTATTGAATTCGAAAAAAAAGTTCAACAATACTTTATGGATACAAATGCTTTTATAGAAATAAAAGAAAATCCATTACCTGAAATTTTAAACAAAGTTACGCAATTACTGAACAATTTTCGATCAAAAAACTTTATCTGGGTATGGCAATATAATGAAATGATACCTGATCGAAAAACAACTGAATTAGCTCATTTATATTTCAACCCAAAAACACACAAGGTAAGATAGACGTTTTCTATGACGATATTTCATTTTATTTGTATTGAATTAGGATGGAATTCCACTTCGACCCATTGAAAATACAATTCGTGCACCAACAACTAATATTTCCAAATTTTTAGATAAAATTCTACGCCCAATATTCGATGATAAATGTAAGAAAACAACAATTATTGATGGTGCTCAGCTAATTAGTGCTATGAACACGTACGCAAACAAAGGTCCAATGAAATCATCAACACTTTTTTGCACATTTGATATTCGCAATTTATATACAATGTTACTACAAGAAGAAGCATTAGATATTCTGGTTGAATTTCTTCATATATATGGTTATACAAAAGTGAAAGGAATTTCACTTGATTCAATTCGAGAATTGGCTTCTATTGTATTAAAGGAAAATTTTTTCGTTTATGACAATAAATTCTACAAACAAACTACAGGTGGTGCCATGGGTTCATCATTTACTTTAACTTTAGCGAATATATTTATGTGGAAATGGCAAAAAGAATTAGTTCATCAACAAAATATTACCAATGAGTTCTATGAAAGGTAAGTAGTATATAATGAAAGCATTGATAATTGTTCTCTACTCTCATCCTTTCAGATACATCGATGATATTTTTATGACATGGAATAGATCAGAAGATGAATTGAAAATTCTATTAATTGAAGCAAATCAATGGCATCCAAATATTAAATTAGATTATAAAATTAGTCAAAGTCTTCCATTTCTTGATGTTCTATTAACAAATAACAATGGTATTCTTTCAACATCAGTTTACCATAAACCAAATGCTGAACCATACGTCATACCATTTTGTTCGGATCATCCTCGACATGTATTTGTTAATATTATACAAACCCTTCTTACAAGAGCAGTACGATATTCATCAGCATTTGAAATATTAAATTATGAACGACGTTCTATCAAGTTAATGTTATTATATAATGGGTAAGTAGTAGTGTATCGTTTTTATTTTAATGATATTTATCAATAATTTTCAGTTACCCTTCGTCTTTTATTGATCAACAATTTCATAAATTTTTCAATGAATTTATTTATGCAACATCAATTTTATCATTTATTGAAAATGAACAACAATATATTCTCTTACGTCGCGAAATACTCGGTCAACCAACACCAAAACAATCACAAACAGCATCAAGAGCAGCTACAGCCGATGTTGATAACGATCAAAATGATGTTACTGCAGAAACTACATCTCGAGAGTTAGTCGAAAAGATTCAGAAAAAACCAATTAACTATGCTGATCGATTATTCCTTCATTATAAACATGAAAAACGATTTCAACCATTTAAAAGAAACATCCATCAAATCTATCACAACGTATTCAAAAATACACCAGCTATGGACCTTAGATTAATTGTAGGTAATCGTAATCGTCGTGATGCAAAAAGTGAACTTATACGAAAACGACCTAAACGATCACTACTACAATGTAAACAAATACAAAATAAATACAAGAAGATATTACGTAAATAATTATTTTAATAAATGTCTCATGATTGAATATGTTTTATTTAGAACGACGAAAACAAAACAGGAAATCCGTTACTACCAATCTTCAAACTAATGATTTATAGCCAGAACTCATACAACACTTACCAACTGCTAAAAATACTAATGAATAAAACTTGTTCTAGATAAGCAAAGATATAATACATATTATGTACTTGCATGCATTCTCTATTCGATTTTACATCCTGGCATTAATTTTTCCTTTACATTATAATCAAGAAAATATGATTTACTTCTGTTCTAATTATTCATTTATTTCATTTTTATATTCTAACATTAAATAAACAAACTGCCTTTCTTCTTCTAGATATATTTTGTAAACATCATATACTCCATTACTCAACCTCAACAATATCAACGACATCAGCGACAATATAAACTTATTGCCATCAATCACTCAAATAAAGTCCAAAATCAAGTAAATATATATCATTTCTTATATAAGCACGAGATTAACTTTATATTCCCACATACTTCATGAGTTTATCAAAGTCAAACAACAATATAAAACAGAGAAACACTTAAATATTCCTCCGCAATATGATCCATCATTATCTGAAATAGAATCTAGATCATGGTAGCTATTGCACACCACTAGGATAAGTGATTACTACTATACATTAATATAAAGTTAGTGTATAACAGTGTAATTTATATGTCTTTGGTTTTGATCTTTCATTAGATCATTACTATTTCAATTCAACAAAGCTATCTGATGATCTTCTTAGCAGAAGTGAGATCTAGATCATGGTAGCTATTGCACACCCACCCTCAAGATGAGAGCTCACACCTACTAGCAAAAGACTAGAATAATCGTACTAACCTACTATTGAATGTAGAAGCAATGAAAAAGGTTGTTTCATGTATTGAAATAAAAAATGAATGAAATAGTGTATCGAAATATCAATGAAGAATAAAAATTTTTAGAGTCTTAGGATGTCATTTCCAAATTTCCAACTTAGTTCACTGTACTATGATCTGGACCTTAAATTATCTTTTGATGCCCATTCGTTGTACTTTTCGGCATAATCATCATACTTGATTAAATGTAAACCACAGAAACCTTTCAACACTCGACATGGATACCATTTATCGCCACTGAGAACCTCTAATCTGGTCCCTCGTGCATAGTGAACGATGTCCAATGGTTTCGCTTCATCTTCACTAATCCAACTACGTTCATTACTAGCAAAACTGAAATAACGAATATAAAATTCACCCTGTCGATATTTTTCAATTCTTGCCATATAATCTATACCGTCCCAATCGACTAATATGCGTTCACCAATACGTGCATGTTTCCTACGCTTTACGGGACATGTCAGAATCCATGTACGCATATCATTTGGTAGATAGGATGATGCATATTGCTTGTCAAACAGCGCCATATCATACATAATATGTCGCTCCAATTCTTTCAATGTCACCGTACCATCATCGTCAAATTCCAAATACGCTTGACCGTTTAATGCTGCTAGTAGAGCAACTGTGAATGTCCAGTTGCCTGTGGATGATTTGTTGTAATAAACTGAACCAAATGCAGCAACACGTAAATAATTGTTCACCTCGCTTTTATCGTAATCATTCACCAAATTACAAATATAACCAGAGTGACAGCAATCTGCCATCAATATAGCAGCTTTCCCTGTGAAATGTTGATAGATTGTATCCACTACAAGCTTCATCGGCATTTTCACATCTTCAGAACAATCGTATGTAGCAAAGAAGCCACCACCATCATCATTTTCATAGCCGTGGCCACATGAGGCATTCAAAATTGATGGTGGCAGGTATAGGAATAGTTGCCACTAGACTCAGTTCTCTTCACGGACCGTTATTTTTGAATAACCCCGAAAAATAGAAAAAAAATGTGTCGTTCTCATCTGCTCGAGAAACATAATATTTTAGATCATCACTAACCGTACTTGTCACCGCTTCTTTATCACAATAGTAGTGCACGTGTTTATCGGGCACACCAGCAGCCAAAAAAAATTTCATCAACTCCTCATCTTTACGATTCTCAACGCACATCGAAGAAAAACTATCTTTATCCTCCCATTCCAGTATGCCAATGATAAACACAATTGTTTGCGATGGATTCCAATCGGCCATCACGTTGTTTCAAAAGATGAAAGTTACGTTTGGTTAAAGCACTGGCAAATGAGGAGATATTTCTTTTCGCGCATGCATATATATCTGTTCTCTTTCCGTTCTACCGACACGCTTCGATGAAAAAATGTGCACACAAGTGCTCTATTATTTCTCTTTTCGGTTGGCTGCTTTTTACGGTATGGTGGCAAATCGGCGAAAAGGTTTTTAGTAAAGGTGTTACTTTATTGTTACTTTATAAAATAACGGTAACGATAATGGTTATACTTATAAAATAAAAATAACGAAATAAAAGTGTCGTTATTCGTTATAAAATAAAGATAACAAAAATCGTTATTTGTAAAAATAACGATAAAATAACGAATAACGAACGTTTTTTGTATGTTACCGAAAAATAAATAAATGACTATTATAATAACACGATATATCAATTAAATGTTATTACATAGGAGACTGTTTTTCTCAATCATAAACTTACTGTAAAAAATAACAGATCAAAAATGAAAATATATTAATACGGTTGTTTTTTTAATTAGTTTCTTATATTAATCGTGTACTAGTTGTTTAGATTCATTTTTTTATACGATAAGAAATAAAAATGAAATTGTACCATAATTCTTTCGAATCCATGGTTATTTTTTAGAAAACTGACTGAGTTTTTTAGTTGTGGGTAGGATTTTGATTTAGGAAGGCGATACACATGTTATAAAGTCTTTAGATTGGTACTTTTCATAATAGAGCCATCATGTTTTGATAATGGTGTAGATCAATCGCGAGCAAAAACATTAAATGAAGCGTTTTTCTCACTTTTAGAACAGAAAGAGTTCGACTGTAGTCGATTAGTTATTTGTTTCGAATATTGTTTTCATCTATGCATTCATTTTAAACTTTCAACTCCTTTCGAATCTGATTGTATCGGGAGAACAACAGGAATTAAGCGAGAAATCGATAACATTGAGACCTGAATATTTAGCTTCTCTACAGTAAGATACTAGTCATTGTGTATATGTGTCAGGCAGAATTAAGGTTTAGGAAAAATTAAACTTGATTTTTAAATGATTCTATGATCATATGATTTAAAAACATTTTCAAAAAATAATTCAGTTGTTATTATTATTTTATTTTTTCAAAGTTGTAAAATTCGTAAGTTGTATTCAATACAAAAAGGAATATAAGTTTAAAAAGATGTAGAGTTCGCAAGTTATATTTGTCGCGGATGAGTTTAGGATAGGTTTAAAATTAATAACAGAATTTTTTTTCGAAGTTTTTGTGGTATTTTATAGCTATAAGCTATTTATAAATAGAATTATAAAATGGTTAGTTTTAGTCTTATATGATTATCACATTTCCGCTAATACTAAATTATATGTAGATTTTAAGAAGAATTGATATGATAAAAGAGTATTTCCGATTACGTAGAATTGATTTTGTGAGTTTTTCGTTTTTGAATATATTAATTATTTTTTTGATAATGGGGACATGGGGATATTGATTATTGGATAAAATGAGTTGTTGAATTTTCGTTTTTATTATATTCTATTTTTTTAATAATGGGGACATTGATTATTGAATAAAAATTAAATTTGTTTTATTTTTATTTTTAAATATATTATTTTTTTAAATAACGGGGACATGGGGACATTGATTATTGGCTAGAAATGAATTGTTCAGTATTTATTATATTGTATTTTTTTATGATAATAAAATTAAGAAATTGATTTGGTTGCTGAAGAATAATATTATAAATATTAGACAGTTTTACGAAAATTTTATTCTTCTGTGATTGTGATTTTATAAGTATTTTTGTCGAATCGATTACATAAGAAAAACACGTGAATATTTTCAGTTAGATTATGCTTTATTACGTATGATGATAAAATTAAGAAAAGAAATATGACAAAGAGAATTTAAAATTTACGACCAACATTCAGAAAGAAATGAAAGTCAGTAGTTTAATAGTAACTTAAAGTAATACCGACGTACAATTGTGTATTGATTTCTTTTTAAATATTTCGTGTGAATAATAATATTTTAACTATAAAAACAAAACACATCGATTTATCTAATTAAAAATATCGTCATAGCTTATGTTTAATCATGATGTATTTCATAGTAACGAACTTCGATAAATAGAATACAGTTCATCTATGCAAGCGATATAAACATTTAATTTAGTAAATCTTAGCAAAATTTATTAATATAGAAAATTTATGGAAATAATAATTTTAGGAAAGCTATGTAATAATATATTATGAGACGACCAATTATTTTATATCTTTATAATACTAAACGTTGAGTAAATTAATAGATAATAAATGACGAGCACACAAAAAGACAAAAATTTTGAGAAAAAATTAAGTATATGATGCAATGAATTCGCCCAATTTTTTATTCAACGTTTTTAATGTATGTTTTTTTGGAAACTACTATACAAATAATCTATTTTATTCTAATAGAAAAATCTTGTTCAATGTTTTTCCTTTTAATTCTAAATAGCGAGCACACAAAACACAAAAAAATGAAAAAAAAACATATGATACAATGAGTCGCGTAATTTTTTATTAGTTGTTTTTAATATATGTTTTTTTTGTTGGAAGATACTATACAAATATTCTATTTCATTCTATTAGAAAAATATTTTTCGATATTTTTTCTTTTAAATTTTCGCGCGGAAAGAAAAGCAAATTTTGCCTGGGACATATATATAAGAAAAACACTTATTCCATAGCTTGAGTTTTGTTAGGAACGTACTTTCTAAATATAAAAATATGTCATAAGGAACCATTTATGGTTTTAGCGAAGAGGCATTAAGCAAAAACGTTGACTTATTTCTTTCTATACATGAAAGAGTCTTAACGTATGCGATTCCGATATAACTTTTTTTGTACAGATTCGGCTGGCACAACAATGATCTAGTTTCTCGAGGATGATATTGTGATGAGAGTGTGTTTGATTCTGTCGGGTAAACGGTCAGGTTGTTGGCGTATATCGTTAGACATAGATAAACGCCGCCTGCTAGGAAAGTTATTAACTTTCACAGGGTCCTACGACCACTCTCGAGTAGTTGTAGGGGGCGTCCCTGGGCTGCTAGTAGCCACTCGTCTGGTCATGAGATTACAACCCTCTAGCTGGACATTGGAAACATCATTATGTGATGGCTAAGTAGGCTCTGGTAAGGACCTCAGCGTTAGTCACCCAAGGTATCCTTTTCATTCACTTCGATAATAGCGAAAGAAGTCGACTGATAATGAAACGAATGCATACGTATGCATGACATGCAAGAGGGTCAAGAATAACAATACGCCTGTTCTAAGTTACGATATTTAAGCTGGGTAATGTCGTGTGGTCGATATGATCGATTAGAAAAAGGCAGATAAAAAGCTATGAGCGGAATCTAATAAAAGGGTTAAAAATACAGCATACGGTTATTGTGTGTCTTGGACTTCAGATATACACATCTATACATAGTCTGTCGAGTTATTCGTTCATAGTTATATGTTGTACTGATGATTCGTAGTGCTGTCACTACGAATCTAAACTGTATGTACGGTAATAGTTGCTGTATCAGGAACAAGCGCACTCTTGTAGGGATCACGTTACGTGGAACTGCAAGCCAATGCAATAGACTTTAGTCTCTTGTTAATGAATGAGCATGTTAACGTACATCGACAGTACACTTACGAAGAACGGATATCTAGGAGGGGTAAAAGCATGAATATTCTCTAAAGTAATAGATGCTGTATATAAAACTGTGTTGAATGTTATTCACAGTATGAACTCCCACATCATCTTGTATTTCGAAATGAAATGATAACGAGAAGATTTGCAGTTGCTCTATGCAACAAAATTGCATTAATCGTTTGCATCGATACAAGTCGTTGATCTTGTACTCAGTTGTATAGATAAGGAAAGAATCAGATATCCAAAAAACTTAAATGAAGCCGATGTGTTTTTCTATAACCATATCGAAGTATCTATCTGACACGTACACCGAGAACATCATCGACTATGTCTCTATCATTATTAATCGAAGTATTAACAATCGCATCTCTGTTCATCATAATTTCATTTACATGTGAATACCAATGTCTTACATAGTGTGAAGCAAGAAAGGTAGAACTGGCAACATGCTATGAAAACGTGTAAGAAAAATATTTCTTTTGAATATCAAGACCTGGCCAGGCATTGCTATTCCTACAATATGTTGTTTAAAGAAAATATCTATCTCTCACAGTACATAGGGGCGAAACGATTTAGAAAATAGCATTGGAGTAGATCCAAGAAAGTATCATTCAGTTGGTAGGTTGGTGACATCCTAAGGTGCAGAAGTAGATAGTAACAGTCAAGAGGTAGGTTGGTGATATCGTATGTAAAAGAGAGGTAGGTTGGTGATATCCTATGTGAAAGAGAGGTAGGTTGGTGATATCCTATGAGAGAGAGATGAATATTTTCTTTGAATACCAAGACCTGGCCAGGCATTGTTATTCATACAATGTGTTATTTAAAGAAAATATTTCAATCTTCATGATCATAAGTATTGGCTATTCTTCGTGGAATTCGCAAGGGGCTGTTTGGAAACTATACGTGTTACATTGTAAACTGGTCGTGGTAGCTCTTGGTTTTCATATTGAAAACATAAAGCCACCTGATGAGGCCCTTGAGCAAGGCCGAAACTTTGTCATATCAAGTATTAAGATCATAATTATTGAATGATTCTTTATTCTTGTTCGTTGCACACAGAATAGAACTATTCGATAACAACGTGATCATAATTGAAAACTTGATATTTTGTTTTGTAGATTTCATTTATTAACAAGTATTTTTTCAGATAACGATAATGTCACATATGTAATATCAAGTAGGATCGATATCGAGTAATGTCGTTCCTGCATCTTATGTACGGGTAAGAATAATGGCTGTAAGCTAATACAGTACGACTTGTCTAATGAATAATTCATTCATTTAGGAAGCCAATGCATTGCCCAGAGATCGGCCGGTTATTCCGGTCATCGAACAATTTAGAGGTCTTGATGCACTCGATGCCTTTGATCCACTTAGGTATCCACTAGTGACAGCATTTGATGCTGCTCATTATCCGGGTGCCTGTGTTCAACGGTATCGTGTTGCAGCTGAGAGGAATGCCGCGTCTCCTGCGCGGTATCCTCTCACGGGACCTCGACAAGCTCCAACAACGTTAGGAGCACCCAGAGATGATGAGGATGACGACGATGCAGAAGTTGATTTCTTCGAAAATAATGATCTGGTCGAGTAAGTTTGTCGATATTTACATACGTTATCATATGAATTTTTATGATAGCTTCAATAATTATTATCGAAGAAACGTCGACACAGAATGGGTTCTGATCAACGAACCCATAATATCGTCGTCAATGGATGATGAGGATGACTTAAGCATTCTTCCATTTGAACGAATTGGTACACGTATCCCTGAAAAACGAGATAGTACTAATTTTGTTGAAGATGCTGAGACTGAATCGGATTATGATGGAGAAACTGAATGAAGGACTAAAATAGTACTGTACATCTTCCGTTTATTTTTTTTTGTTGTTGTTTCATATTTAAAATAAAAACTAGTGGTAAGTATGGATTTATTTTTTTTATACATGTCCGACAAAAGCCAACCCTACTTCCACGCAGTGTCGGATGGACACTATTGTTGCTAGTGACTAACAGGGCAATGGTATCCTACGAAAACATAGTGTATAATAGAAAAATATCGATCATGCCATAACGATATATTTTTGCTATTTCTAATGACATTCTAGATAAATATGTCAAATAAACAACTATCAGTTGTGGATTTAGTGCCTGTGCCACAGCAGCAACAACAGCAACTACTAACAGCACCCTTAGAAAAGGAATTGGAAGTTGAACAGTTGCAAAAGGCACATGACAGTATTGATAAATCCTGCATAGACGATAATAAACTAATTCATCAGAGAAAAAGTGAAGACCAAACTATGCATTGGGTATGTGTATATATTGCAAAAGATTGAATAAATTATCTTCATTATAGACCGATGTTGAAGCAGTATATTATGTCGAAATAGAAGAGGAAGAAATTGATAAAGAAAATATACAAATGTTAAATGCAGTTGCACAAATCAGGACAACGATATCAACACCTGATATTGACGATAATTAATAAATGACATTGAAATTTTCTGATTTTTTCTTCTTAATATCATTA